AAAAGTTATTGTAGAAAAAGTGTTAGAAATTTTGAAACTCTCGATATGCCAATTTTCGAGCCATACCGAGCGTCGGCGCTTTGTACTTCCGGTGGTTATGAGATACAAAATTCACTTCTTCATAGGTTGCTCTATCATCACTGAAAATTTCATACTTCTATGATCATTGGGTTTTGAGAAAACGCTCGGACAAAGTGACCCTCCTAAAATCACTAAATTGCGGAAATCTCCGAACCGGAAGTGACGTCATCAAAATTGAAAAAAAAGTTCTAGATTTTTTGATGTTCTACCAGACTGAAAGTTTCATGAAAATCCATCGAGCCGTTTTCGAGAACTCGCGTGCACAAAATCGGTAAGAAAAAAAAAATAATAATAAAAATAGTGGAAAAGAAACCTAAGATTAACAAGAAGATCTTCCGCTGAAGACGGAAGACCTTAACAATAATAATAATAAAAATAGTGGAAAAGAAACCTAAGAATAACAAGAAGGTCTTCCGCTGAAGACAAAAGACCTTAATAATAATAATAAGAAACAGTAGAATCACTATAGGTCTTCCGCTGAAAACGGAAGACCTAATAAGCAAGCTTCTTAAATAACGCATCTAGAATTTCTGTAGAAAAATCAGTCTTATATACATGTACTGTATACTACCATTAATTCTCATTCTGGGCACAAAAGTAAAAGGCTGCTAAATCAGAAGTTAAGTTTGTCCAAGCAGTAGTCACTTCTGCTGCAGTGGGAAGATTTATCTGCGGCTATACAACTCTACACATATTACTAGTAGAGAATACCCGCTGTGATAATCAGTCACTTGCATACAACTGTTACAGCTAGACGTCGCGTTTACATCAAATAGATACAGTTTTCTGTATACCATCATACGCTCGGCACTTTGAAGGGAAATTTGCGGGTCTTGCGGATTAGACCTTAAAAACCGAGGCCCCGTGTCGGGACAGGCGTTAGCACGATAGAAATCCCTCACTGCTCAATAGCCCTGAGTGCCGAGTAAAGGTCTAAATATGAAGCCCTTCACCGGTATATGGTAACGTCTAGCTGTTATTTTAGATGGCATGAACGCACTAAATTTTTAGACGTGACTATATTATTAGGAAAATGTAAAAAATATTGAAAGACAAATAAAAACAACTTGAATCAATCCAATAAAAATCAAAATAGCCCGTACGTCATTATATCCTACATCGATAAAATCATATTAAACCTATTTATTGATTTTCAAATTCTTCAATTTAAGAAAATATAAAAATTATTTATTAAAATAGTTTTAGATTCTATTTAAGCATGTATTTAAAAATAGTTGAAAAATATAATTTTAAAAAGTGTTAAATACACAACATCTAGACTTTCAAAACATACTTTTACGGATTTAAATTATATCGTCTCGTATCCTGTTTTCGACCGTATTGTATTTTCGACCAATTTTTTCCAATTTGCTTGCTGTGCAGATACCCGCGCGGTACAGCATTATTCTCTGCTGCTCCACTTGGAATGATACATTTTAAGTACAACTGTAATGAATATACACAAAATAAATTAATTTAATGGATTTTCCTTCATGATTTTAGTCCGATATCAAAAATTCAAATCTTTTTAAAATAGATATCGGCATTTTCTTGCAGATTTTCATTGAAAAATACAACGTAATTTCATTGATTTTTTTTTTTTTTTTTGAAATGCACAGCTACTGACGGAAGGGTACAACCAATGAATAAAATTGTCTACAACCAAAGTATGCAACTTGTTTTAAAAGTATTTTTATGAAAGAGAGATGATAGTATTTTTATTGTTTGGAATATCATACAGATATTTACAGCCAATACTGACTGGGAGTCCATACTTTATTTAGGTAGAAAACACATGACGCTATTATTTTTGTAAGGAAAACCACACCCTTCTCATATTATGGCATATAAATAAAGTTAACAAAAAAACTACAATTTGGGTTATATTATTTTATTAACAGACACATATACTATTCTTGTAAGCCTTAATTTTTTCAGATTTTTTAAAGCTTGCAATAAATCAATAAATAACATCTAAATAGGTCGAAAATACAATACGCCAGGATAAGAGTTCTTTTCAATTTTTCTTCTCATAAATATATGCATATATTTATTTAAAAGAGTGATAAACATATTAAATTTCATGTGTTTTCTAATTTTTAATGATTAAGATTTCTATACATTTAAAACACTTGCAAGTACACATACAGGTTATACATCGCTAAACAAGAAAAAGAATGTAAACGTGTACATGTACGTGTAATTTTAACTTGTAGTTTACACCTACCAGTACACGTACAGGTGTGTTTGCTAAGTACGATTACAAGTTTCATTCCTTGAATATATTCATTTGTAGGAAAATTTCCCAAGTTTTTTAACGACAATTTATAAATCGGTAAACCCGCATTAAGTTCTACTCAGTGATGAGGTTCAAACTAAAAGCATGAATTAATTACAAGCTGCGAAAAAATATTGATATCTTTTCACTACCATTTATTATTATTATTACCACTTCCACTGCTTGCATGTTGTATCCATGGAAACCAAGTTATATTCTTGAGAATTAAATCAAATAAAATCTGCTTATTATTAATAGTTCATGTTCATTTGAATAAATTCATAGATGAAATAACATATACCTTCTACTAGCAAAATCGTATAATTCTACTGAATCACTGTACATAATATTATCGCCATGATGACAGGAATAAAACAATCTTTTTTCCAACATCCTTTTCACTTTTTTATGTTACAAAATTTTATATTATACATGTATAACTTACAATGTAAAATTGAAAGTTTCTGATAATTTTTGCGTTTTTTAAAATTTGATAAAAACTCATGCTTTGATTTCAAAAATCATAAAGCTCTGTTTCCAAAGCAACCAAAATACCTGAAGTCAAATTATATATGTGTTGATCCTTACGTCAAGATCTTAGGATTTTTTTTTTTTTGTTTACACTGTCATATATATAAGGTTTTTTTTTTTTTTTTATTTCAAGACACAAATGTATATTCAAATATAACCATAGTAACGAACTATTACTCATAGATTCCCCATAGATTCAGTATAAGACTTCACATTCCTATGTATGGTCATTTACATTCTTTGTCCCTGAACAAATTCACAATGGAGGGGGGGGGGTGGTGGTGGTGGTGAAAATAGCCAGAAATCACACTGATTTTTTCAACTTTTAGGCCCATAACTATATTAACAGAAATCCATAATAACCAATATAATAATCTCCCCTTTATTTTCCAAGAAAAGTAACTCTTCCGTCAATGTAACGTAAAGATCAATAATACAATATTTTTTTTTCTTACTTCATCTCCTTTATATGAATAATTATACATATATAAGTATACAAGATGAAATGTCTTTCTTTATTTGTTAATACGGGGATTAACGGTTGAAACCGCGGCAGGTAAAAAAGAAAAAAAAAAAAAAAAAAAAAAACATACTAGTAACCAGATTATGCAGGTTGTATGGTTGCAACTCCCAGATTAGACAGCCTTTTATTGTTTAATTATTGGTTTAAACTACGGATTTGGCTCAATGTATAATTTGCATTTATAATTACATACAATGTTTTATTGTTACATAAGTTTGTGTTATCTATTCTAAATATGACAGAAAAACAGGTGAATCATGGGCGGGGGGTGATTTTTGACATTTAAGTTGATCGTGTCAAGGTTTGGAAAGGGGTTCTCCGAGTCCTACCCAAATACCGATAAAAATTTGCACAAGTTGTCATCTTGGCATCTTATAGTTTTTAAAGTTCGACAAAAAAGCTATGCACCGTAGTAATAATATTTGTTGTTTTGACAATAAATTCAACAAGTTCCAATTATGGCCCAAAAATTAATCACCCCCCCTTTTTTTTTTACACAAATCTTTCAAAAATCCTCTCTTTAACAGAATTTACATTGTTAAATTATGTAATATCAGACTGGTAATGAAATATTTACGCAAGAGGCCCATACGGGCTGCATATTCACCTGAGCATTTTAATGCTTGATTGTGCTACTTCCCTGGTTACCAGAATTTGAAGGAGAGCGCATTTACATGTAGTATAACTGTCTTATGACAGCATCTAGTTTATTTCTTTACTATATTACAATGTGCAGAAAATCATCAAATGGTGAAAAATATAAAAATTATTCTCATAATATTGCGTTTTTTCCCCTTTTGGCTTGTTTGTTTTTCCCGAATAGAGAGATAGGTCTCTGATTTTAGAGTTGACGCTAAACATAAAAATAACTTGGAATGGCATCATGGCAGGGGAATGCTTGTATGTTAGTACGTGTCCATTGTATCTTTAAGCTTGTGACTAAAAATTTTATAACCATGCCTGTACCTGATGTTTATTTGACTTAAATAATTGATTGCTGTGAGCCCCATCCTAGCCCAGAGAATGCACTGTGTCAAATTAGTTCTTATCTGGCCCTGTGGAACTGAAGAAAATAAAAAAAAATATACAAAGACAGACTTTATACAGAGAGATGTTCCTTGGTCAGAAAAGCTCACATGAGCCTTTGTCTCACATAAGCTGAGAATGACTGAAAATAAACCATGGCAGAACATATAAAGCATTTATTTACACCGTTGTACAAATATCAATCCACAAATCGTGAATTTAATCATTTGTAATTCACAACTTTTTAACAAAGCTAGGACAACTGTACGGAATACAAACTGCATACGTTTACAAAACAATATCATGTTAACAGAAAATTAAAATCAATTACTGGGTTCATTTATTTTACAATTGCATGGCAATGCCATTAAGTTCAAGTACAATGTAAACGTTCGAGCCAGTATTAAAACGTTTGTGTTCACAGCACTCTAGTTTCACAGATCCTGGCACTTTTCACTGTGGAAAACAAAGTGGTCACATAAAGAAAAGATACACTCAACAACAAAGGGTATATAAAGTTATATATACCGTCATTAACAAACAAACGAACAAACAAAAAAAAAAAGAGGAATCGGTAGAGGAATTAATACACAGAGGCTTGCTGTCCCTGAAAACTTCCCTGAAATACTGAATGATCTAACACCTGTTTCTTATTATTACTTAGATAAATGTCACCATTGGGGTACTCCTCGCTTATTCCCGAACTATTTTGTTCGTTTTCTTGATCTGTTTTTTCTCGACTGGATAGCTTTTCTACCGAGTCAGGTGATAACGACTTACTCTCAGACACCCTTGCTCTTTTTGTTGGCTGTTCACTTTCATTGTCATTGTCCTGTGAATATTCAAACACCTGTTCCAAAGCCCTCTTCAAGTCATTTTCGCATGTCACAGAGACAGGCTGACTACATTCTGAACTATTTAATTCCTTTTTTATGACGCATTTTACCTGTTCTGCTTGCACAGTTATCGCATCTGACATCATCATATGTGTTCCAAAGTTATAGCTGCTAGAATAACAACCTTCTTCTATTTGTTTAATTTCTCCCATACCGGAAACGTCATGGATGCTGGGTATTATGTTTTCCTGGATCGAGTTGTGTTGGTATTGTGTAACGATTTGAGGTGGATATGTAACAGCCCTTGCCACAGGTGTCGTTCCAGTGAAAGCTACACTGGTTGGAAACAAACCTTGTTGAGGATACGTCATGTAGTTTTGATGCGATTGGTTCGAATTGTCAATGTGGCGTCTACAAAAGTTTAAAGCAATTCTGTTTACGAAAAATACTTTCAAAAAATTACGCGTTATCAATTTAATATAGAAACAAGAGGCCCATCCTCTTTTAAATTTGATAAATGAAAATGCAATAAAAACTTTTTTGTTCCTTCTTCTTTTACAAGTTCCTTTTACCAAAGACCATCATTATGCTCCGCCATGAATATGGCCGGGGGATGTCTGTCTTCCGTCCTTCTATCACACTTTGTATTCAGCCCAGTTTCAAAGAAACAATTATTTTTGTTAAACTTCACTTGCTGATACATATTGATGAGAGCTATTCAATTGCATACATTATTTTTACATTGACCCTTCCTTTGACCTTGACTTCACTTTAAAAAAAATGTGAACTCAGTTTCAAAGATACTTTTCGGTATCATTTTATTTAACCTAATACTAGTATGCTGATACATACAGATCAGAGTTATTAAACTGCATCAACATTTTTTTACCTTGACCTTTCTTTTGACCCTCACTTAAAAATATTTTGGCTCAGTTTCAGCAATACTGTATTCATGAGTTTTTTAAATTAAAATTTACATGCTGATACATATTTTGACCTTGACTTTTCCTTTTACACTGACCTTACTGTTTAAAAATTTGTGCTTAGAAAGTTTCAAACAAGCTATTTAATATATTTCTATTTAACCTAATGTGCTAATACATACTGGAGAGAGCTATTCAGCTTCATCAACAATTAATGATCTTGACCTTTCCTTTGACCTTGACCTCACTTTTCATAAATTTGCGTTTAGCTAAGTTAAAAAAAAACTATTCCAGATACTTTTATCAAACCTTATTTTCTGATACACATTTGGAGCTTTTCAACTTAATCATCATTTTTTTTATCTTGACCTTTTCACTTATCTTGACCTCACTTTTTTTTTATTTGTGTTTATGGAAGTTTTAATCAAATTATTTTTAATTAGATATTGTTAACAAAGTTGATATGCGGATACATATTGGTAGGAGCTATTCAACTTCATCAAGATTGTTTTTACTTGACCTTTCCTTTGACCTTATTTTTCTTCAATTTGTGTTTAGCTTATTTTCAAAAAACTGTTCAAAAGACTTTTTTAAACTTCAAATACTTATAAATGTTGATAAAAGCTTTTGAAATTCTTCAACATTTTTTAACCTTACCTTTCCATTGCCATTGACTTTACTTTTCTAAAATTTGTGTTTGGCTCCGTTTTAAGAAACAACGAGATATTTTTCTTCAAATTCATTCTGATGCATTTTGGTGAGTGCTGTTGTACTGCATCAAAAGTTTTTGAACTTGACCTCACTTTTCTAAAAAGTGCATTTAGCTCAGTTTGGAAGATATTATTCAAGATATATTTAGTTACGCCCATGTATTGGTACATAATTTGACGATAATTTATCAACTGTGTCCATTTTTTAAACCTTGACCTTCCCAGTGACCTTTTACTTTATTATTTATTGTCTATAAAAATCGGTTTCATAGAAATTATTCAAGAGAATTTCATTAAACTTATACACTAATTCAAGTTTTCATGTTACATTACTAATAAACCCTGGGAGGGACTTTCGTGTCCTGTGGACATACTTCCAGTTTCCTTAATATTAATCTACAACATTTACGTCTAATATAGATTTAAAACTAATAGCGTGATTGATCTTAAGTAGATACATGTAGTCTGCCTGTGAAACAATTTTTTTATAATTCCTTTTACAAAACTGGCTTACAAGACTTTTAAGATTTGTCGGAAACCTCTTTAATAATTATCTTTGATATCTCTATGTAAACATTCCCTATTGATGCCAACTCTTGCCCCCGAGTCCATATGCTGTCAACCCTTCGTCTATGAAGATACTTAATTTTTGATTTGTTTTTTTTTTTTCTATTATTTCACAAATTATCACACAAAATATATTAAATATTGCTTGCTCCTATGTTTTTATCAATTGAATTGATATTTTCATTAGTTTTACTTGTGTGGTATTTGGAAAATGCGCCAATAGACAGTGAGTGAGGACTTACCCTTCATAGTTGTCACGGAAACCTTTCGCAAAAGGATTGTGATCAATTTTCAGCTGTGTAATCTATTGAAAAAACAAATCAAATATGCAAATTAAGCAATAATCCAGTATTGTAAGTCAGGCCCGAAGGAAAGCGTTTCAGTTTGAGGGCCCAGCCTAATAGAAATTTAATTATGACTTCTTGACAACCAATCAATGGTTATGAGGGGGCACATTGAGGGGGCACAAACGTAAATTAACTTTGTTTTCTAAAGTTTAGCATATATGACCATTTTTAAGGAGGGAACAATTTTTTTTTATCGGCTGCAGGAGTGGTACATCGATCTGTGATTGTAATAAGACGTTATTTTTAATAGGTCAATAGGATAGTAATACTTTAATGATAGCATAATTATTTAAAAGCTATGATTAAATAATATCGATAACTTGTTATATATTAAGTTTTAAATTGTTGTTATTATCTATGTATTTCTACCCATATAGTTATTAATTTAAGATTTTGAAATAATTGTATACAAGAGGTACTCTCCGACATGGGAGGATGAAAGATATGGACGCAAATCGTTATGAGTTTCCGGGTATTAATTGATAAAAAAAAATTGAAAGGTTGGTAAAACTAGTAGAATTTGTTTGTTATATCCTACAGCTGTGAATGATATAACAAATGTTACAACGAAAATAACATTAAATCTCAATCATAAAAAATTTTTCATTGATATTTAATCTTTATAAGGTACACTAGTACTATATGTAAAATCTCCACAATTTGCAAAATCTCACAAAGATTGAAATTATTTGCCTGTGAAATAGCACGAACACACAAAAGAGGGCAGAAAAGACAATTTTCTCACACTATAACACAATTTTTCGATATGAGTGGGGTTCTCTCCATTTTCACAACATTCGCTACATTTTTTGGCTAACAAAAACATGGAGCAAAGACCCACTATACCTTAAATATACTCTTTTATGACACAACATTTGCATCTTTCCGAGAAATACTAAAGTCCATTTAGTCAAGGGTCATATCATAAACCTGATTTAAATGCCACTCATCAGGAGTTGTGTAGCGTAGTGGTTAGCGTGTAAGTCTCGATGGCAATTGATACTAAGGAATTTTATTGCTAGGGTTCGAACTCCACATTATTTTTTTTTTTAATTACAGAATACATGTATATTTTGCCCAGAAAATTTTCAATGGAAAAGTTTGGGTTTATCATAATTTCATATATTTGAATAATGAGAACTTCACTTTAAACACTAAATTTACAAATTGAATATGATTTTTATACATCTGAACCTGTCGGTATTCTGCACGCCTTGTTCACACATCTCCTTTTTATACATCTGAACCTGTAGGCATTGTGCACGCCTTGTTTACACATTTCCTTTTTATACATCTGAACCTGTAGGCATTCTGCACGCCTTGTTCACACATCTCCTTTTTATACATCTGAACCTGTAGGCATTCTGCACGCCTTGTTCACACATCTCCTTTGTAGATACACCGATTAAAGGAACTCTCTGAATCTCTTTTAATGCATGTTTTCACAAGTTGGCACTTTATTTGAAACGGACAAAAAATTGCAAGTGTGTAACTATTAATACATGTATTTATGCTAAGGATCTAAAAGTGCAAACCCTAAAAAAGATATTTTAAACACCGCTACTTTTGAACACTTTAAAGCAAGAGATGTATTTTCCATTGTTTAATTGTATTAAGAGAAAAATATTATCAAATTAAAGATTTATAATTTCGAAACCAATTAAGGAAGATTGGATACAAACAACTTGAAACAAACAAGCATGGAACGATTTTTAAAGTCTACGAAATTCACAATGTTTCGGTCCTCAAGCGCGCAAGGGAGCTGTTATAAATTGATTCTGAACGTGTAAACTAAATATATGGAAATTAAACTGATCCCAACCAGAATGTTGTAATAATTGTAAATAGATAATATTTTTACAGGAATATTAGTTTGTTTAAGTGTAATACAGGCTTAAAAGCAATTGAACTTGATAATCAAATAGATTTCTTAGTGGTAAATACAAAAGGAAGGGGGTAAATTATTATTTTATTTATTTTGTGTTAATTTTGATCGGGATCAGTTTAATTTTGATCGGGATTGGTCCAAATATTAAAATAATTATTTTCCTTAAGATTTAGCAATTTCATTTCAATTTCTTTTTAAGATATGATTGCCTAACATATACTCCCTAGTTGTGACTAGTTTTATGAAGATTTTAACAATAGGTTTAAAAAATATTCACAAATTATTTGTTTTATTTTCATAAATAATTTTTTATTCAAAAAATTAAAATGTCTATCCAGCCTTTATTAACATATTTTATAAGACATTCATATTTTGCATTTATTAACAACAAAGTTTTAACCCTAAAGCATCTACATAGCAAATAAAACTTTTTTTTTTCATTTTCTCTGAAAAAATACAAAAAAATCGTATAAAATAATTTAAAGCTAATATCGGTACTTCAATGCTGAAACCATAGTTTAAAAGGGATTTCTTAAAGATCTATTAAAATAAATTTTGGTGTGGCATTCCTCCTTAAATATCTCTAAACCAATCAGATTCCACTAATTTATGATTTTGTACATTAAAGAGAAAAAGATAATTATCCTTTTCATGTTCAGAATCTCTTAGAGGATTTTCTATACTTTCTTAAATTTAACGTTTAGATACTTTTTAAGTCCTTTTTTTTTAAGAAATAGAGTGCTTCCTATCTTCGAGGAAAAAACAAAAATCTGTTTTGCATGCCCAACCTTAAACAGCTGTTAAAGTTTATCATTCTAAAGTTTTAAGTGTAAAATGTCAGGGTTAATTTAGCTCCGAGATGCATCTTTACGTGCTTATATAAGAACATAGTTGTGAAGGAAGTTGAATGCGGAATCTTTTCTGATAGGCAGATATTTTTCTGAAAATTTGATACATAATAAACGATACACCTAATTTTTCAACTCTCAATAGTAAAAAAAACTATAATTTATAAAAAGAAGTCTAAAACAAGGAAATAAAACTTACATCGGTATTTTGGTAAGCAGTGACAGCAATGAATTGTGTTTCCGGAAACGCATGCGTCTGTAAGCTCTTCTGCTCGTTTGGGCCATGTGACCCTACCTCTATAACATGGATTCTCGGTTGATATTTATGCATGGAATTCAAAATAATCTGAAATAGTGAAAATCTTAAGTATAATACAAAAAGATATGTTGAAATAAAATTTTATTTTTTACTTTTTACAACTTCGGATGAAACTGTATTCATCACCAATTGTGAAAATTTATTTTGTTGTATGCGTTACTCACAGGTCTTCTTGTTTCAATAGACTCTGTACTGATAAATAAAGTATATAGACTTTTAAATGAATCATGTTCAAAATGTCAGATTTCGTTTATAAAAAAAAATAAATAAATAATGGTCGCTATATTGTAAACCTGCTTTCCTTTGCCGTAACTTTCTCGAGTTTCGCGAGGACGCAGAAATTACCTTAGAGCTTTCTGAGTTTTTGCTCGAGCATCTTGAAAGAAAAACCAGTTTTGGAGAGAAAATCGCGAAAAAAAAATCCTAGCTTACGTGTCATTAAAAAAACTTTATTATATCTCTGTGTATTTTTTCTTTATAATAATATAACTAATTAAACTTTTTTTTTTCCTATACAGCCTCTCGCGTGAAATAGTTTTTGTGGTATTTGCCGACGGTGAAACATCGGCAGCATTCGATTTCCCCCGATATTCATCTCGGAACTTTTCTGGTTTTATCTGTAACCAAGTACAGTCTACTTCGGTATAATAAAACACCTCTTTACTGTCTATGCAGACAATAGCAAGTTTATTGTACCCCAAGACAGAAACTTTTTCCCGAAGCGCATCCTCGGGAAATAATTGCTGTCTTGGGGGACAATACACTTGCCATCGTCCTCATAGCTAGTATACGAGTAAATAAGCTAGTGTGTAATAGCTCGAAAGAAAGCAGCCATATGCATGTTACAACGCAAAATGTAATAGCAACGCAAAATGTAATAAACTGGGATTATGACATTTTGCGTTATTACATTTTGCGTCGAGATCAACGCAAAATGTAATAACATGATTTTTGGATTATTACATTTTGCGTTGGGATTAACGCAAAATGTAATCATGCACTTTTTGGTTGTAACATTTTGCGTAACTTAATTTTTGCGTTGAGGACAACGCAAAATGTAATAAAACAAAATATAATTATTTTTTGCATTGTGTTCAACACGAAACATCACAAAATTGATTTAAACATATAACAATGGGGAAACTCGACCTATGACTATGAGACAAACGTTACGGCTTTTACGGACTTTACTAAATCTAACTGTATATTTTTTAAACTCTGTTTCTAACATTTTTATTGAATACTTATAAAACATTAACTTAACTTTGATTGGCATATCTATTTATAAACCAGTCTGTATCATATATCCATCACTGACATTCTTAATTACCAAAGATTGACCATGGGTCCATTAAAATCTCTTGTCATGCAATGCATGTACGATGTGCATGTGTACATTGGTTAGCAAATTAGAAGTGCATGTGGTTATATTTCACGGATGCCTCGCTCAAAATCAATTGTGATCGGCCGAAACTGATCACAAACACACACAGACCATGCAGAGGACCTCTGGCTTTTACGTTCCTATTTACCCTCAGGCTGGTACCTACCTGGCTGACCTGCCCTTGGTCCACCGCTCTGTTATTGGTCAGTTTCAATTTTCCGAAAACAATATCCTGTTTCATCCAATGGGCCCCGGAACTTGGGGAATCTGGGTGAAGATAAACGCGCCCATCTGCAAAAAAAATAAATATCTTCTAAGATCGCTTGTTTTATAACAGGTAAATGGGTAATTATCAATCGAAAATGCTCTTTAAAAAATTTAAAGACTTTCAAATTCGATGCATTTCGAAGCTTTAAAATTACAATGTATTTGTCTTACGATGCAGTGATTCATTCGATATTATATATCTTATTTATATTTAAAGCAAATGTGTATTTTGATGCAAATATAATAACATATAAAATACGTGAGACGGTATCCAATAGCAGATAGAAGCTTGTGATATGCGTAGTATAAACTAATCGGATACCGATGTTGTTATTTGAGAAAATCCACAAAAAAAACATCCAAGAAACAAGTAACAAGACTACTAGTGTAAACCAATTATTAATTGTATTGATTTCTGTCATTTTTATTTTTTATTACATTTCATTTTCTAGCCACCATGTCGTCACGAAAAATCGTAATATAAGGTAAAAAAGGAACCCACAGCGACAATCCGGGGCCAATTAGGGAAAGGTAAATAATATTGTACTTCACAATGCCAGCACAGTGGACATACCGTAATTTGATTCACAGTGGTCAAATGGCTTTTTCCGCCGGCAGCAGGTGTTTTACAGAATAAGAGCCAGGCCGGGTAACTACCCGGCAGTTATTTGAGCGGTTGATCGATCGGCATTATTCTAGTCAACATGGACGGTCATTATCTACAGAGAGTCGTGTAATCTTTGACAAGTGTTAATATGGAAAGGACCACATAATGAGACGTCCAATAAACATGACATTTCCCTCTTCTTCGATACTTTTTCTTTAAAAACTGACGTTTTTGTTTTGGCTGTATTCCATAACCTATCGAATTCAATTTTAATATACATGTACATGTAGTTACCAATGCAATATAAAATATACTGTCCTTATCTCTATACGTGAGATAACAAATGATAGAAAGTAACTGTTTCTTTTCCTTTTTTCTTTTTTCCTTCTTTCCTTTTTTTTTTTTTTGTTCGTACGATTAAAGGAAATGCATCATTTTACAACGTAAAATTTATCTGCATCTTTTATGTCATTTGTACACGTAAATAACAAAATATGCTTCACTTCATACTTCATATGAATTTAACTGCTTTAAAGCTCGTAAATACCCAAATATGGACACAAAGGGGCGTGGCTTGTCATCTCTTTTGCATATTTGTATCATAGTTATCCAGTTTGATTATTTTTTTCTATATACATGTAAATTGTATATAGAATATCCTTTCAAAATACATGTTGGTCGATTTCAGTATCATGTCAAAACTTACTTTCTCATTTATAACTTATTTCGAATTTATTTTTGTCTTTTATTTTCACAACAAAGAGCGGCTAATTGTTTAGGTTTTATTCAAAGTAAGGAGTGAGAACAAAAATAGTTTCACGATGTCTTTGCCTTAATGATAAAAAATATAATTAACTCATCACACTTCTCAGTTTAGATTTCCTCTCCTTTGACTTGTATTTCTGGTTTTATTCCGATCGTACCAGGTCAAAAAGGGTTACCACATAAGAAACTATAAACTCACATGTACGAACGTTCAGTACGTTCAAGAAAAGTACATACACGTATATCTCGTATGTCCATAGGACATGAATGCCCCGCCAAAGGTAGTGTCATTTTGGAAATTTTGAATTTACTAAGTGGGGGTAAATGCAAAATTTACAACATGGTAACTTTTTCATGTACCTCCACCTTGTAAATTCAAAATTTACAACATGATAGTAGATCTGTATTGTATCATGAAATATATGGAGATAACGAACATTATTATATAGTCTATAAATAGTCCCTATATAATCTATACAAACGCAAACAGTTCATAACACTACATATTCACCGGATTTGAGGCCGTATTCACCAGAGGGTCAGTGCGCGTGCGGCGGCATTGTGACGTCACAATCAATACCTAAAACAACGTTGAAAACAATGGTTGCAACGACCGGAGCCAGCTGTATATGCTGTATATCTAAGCAGGAAAACTATTAGGCAAATTTCTCGTAGGATTATTTTCCAAACATTTCGATGTCTTACACACAGCAGCAGGAAAACACGGAACTTAAAAGTTATAATCTGGACATTTTTTTTATTTATTCTACGACTGAAGTTCGTTAATGAAAATGGAGTCGTCAAGCAGCCTTCAATGTCTTATTATTATGTCTCATTCAAATCCTGACTATATAATAAAACAATTATGGACTCTTTCGATGGTGAATATGGTTTGTTATTCACCAGAAAAATATCAATATTGACCTCGGCTTCGCCTCGGTCAATATTGATATTTTTCTGGTGAATAACAAACCATATTCACCACCGAAAGAGTCCATAATTGTATAGTATTCAAGCTCAAAAGTCCATTAAACAATACAAAATAGGAGCAGAGCAAACACAGACCTCCAAACATCAGAGGTGGGATCAGGTGCCATGGAGGAGCGAGCACCCCCTGCCGACCGGTCACACCCGCCGTGTGCTCCTTGTCATGATCGGGAAATAACGGGGAAATCCGTCGACAATTCAGTGTGTAAATAATGACCTGACAATTAGTATGAAAAACGTCAGTCAGCATTTGACTTAATGATAAATTGTATTTGCTGACATTGTATCGACCATAGAACTTACGAAATGATGACTTTATACGGACAGCTGATATTCTTGTTTCATCAACTTGTTTGTCAATAATTTACTTCGTTTAAGAAATTGTACATACGTGAGCATGCTCTTGCATATCGAATCAACTGAGAGATATATACCCCGTATGCAGGTGATGAAGGTATATTGCTGCATAAGTAAGGGAAGTTGACGATTGAAAAGTGGTGAAAAGAAATTTACAATGCCTCTTCGGTCTGACCTAATAGTAAAATATGACGAAAGAATGGTATCTTTTTCATATGTTTTTAATTTACATAACTGGTACCTTTTGTACAGTTAGTGTCTTTTAGCATGGCATGTAGTATTGATTCAGTCTTTCTATTTAATACAACTGCTAAATGAAATTGTCTCATTGATTCAAGTTTTTTTCTCATAAATAGTTAATTTATGCATAGGTATGGTTGAAATATGCATGTGTTTGGAGTTGTAGGAAATAATCCTTTATGGAATTGAATAAGATGAACTCAGAGCAAAATGACGGAAAAGGGAAATTCAAGGTCATAAGGAAGCTCGAAGTAAAAAAGAAAATGACACAGTTGAATTGTTCTTACAAATTTTTACTAATGTATTTAAGAAATAAGGTATCATTTTTAAACAACTATCGGGCTATAAATACGGGTTGGTCACGAGATCAAATTCCATAAAGCCCGAAGGTGTTTTAAAATGATACCTTATTACTTATATTTACATTTGTGACTTATTCATGGTTTATATTTGCCTGATTATAATCTTCAACGCGTGAAACGTTTTATTTTTCAAACCCAACGGCACGTGTTTGATCCTCTGATTGCGCGTCGACCCTTTGTGACGTCACTGAGAAATTACGTCGAACGTTTATGACGCGAGGAACCCGTGTTTATACGGATATAGATACACGTTGCTTTTAATAGTGTTATATAAAAGAAAACATTTGCAAATGTAAATATACGGATATAGATACGCGTTGCTTTTAATAGTGTTATATAAAAGAAAACATTTGCAAATGTAAATATATGATGTTAAATGAAAATATCTTGTTCGGTTTCTCTCAATATCTCTCACCAATATGTATCAGTGTATGATATTTGATAAAAATATCGAACATTTTTTTTTAAAACTGAGCTAAATGCAAAGTGTGATGGACAGATCGGACAGAGGGACGGACAACAGGACGGAGGACGGACACGACAAACACTGTTTCGGTCATGTTCATGGCGAGCATAAAAACACTCTATTCGTACTTGAAAGACATAGCTTTGTTAATTAGAGAGATTTTTCGATGTAATATATTAAGTAGCCCCCTGTATCTATGTGAAGAAATGTACGATCCTCAACATTCTCTTTTCATGTAATTTACAGTCGAAGAAAAAAAATTGACACATTTCAATGATAGGTAATTTGACACGAACTCCGTAATAGGAAAGTGTACTGGTATTATCCTCATGTAATGGTATTATCCCCCTTCCCCCCCCCCCCCCATTCATTATTGTCCTGAGGAACACCTGTAAGTTACAAACATGCCATGTTTCTAAACAGGGGAAATGCGCAAAATGAAAGGGAAAAAGCACAGTAAAATATAGACATAACTATATCTGAGTGTACGAACTTTTTTGAGGCGTGTATTTAGTTTTGCTCAGCATCAGCTGCACCGAATGTAGAATTATAAAAGACGTATATTATTAGTTACATAGTTTTTTAGTGACAGGGTACGGGATGATACCTGGTTAGTAAATTTCATACCTGGCGAGGCGAAGCCGAGCCAGGTATGGAATTTACTAACCAGGTATCATCCCGTACCCTGTCACTAAAAAACTATGTAACGAATTTACCCCACCGATAAAATATTTATGCATTGTCTGTGGTTTGTAAAATTGTTTTTCTCACTATATACTCGGCTATGTTAAGGAAGGAAATGGAAAATGCGATCTTACGTACATGCTTAATACGTATTATTTTAAAAAATCTTTGTAACAAAGTAACTGTAAAAAATGTAGGACAGGTAATATAGATATCCATAATGGATAGGTTTGTGGCTTACTCAGTACCAGTTACATCGCATGTATCAGCTGTGTGTCACGTGACTTGTATAAAAATAGAATTGTTCAACTGAATGTAGAAAATGGGGCTAGTGCAAGGGCATACTCATGTTTTTAGAGAAAAAAATTGATACATATTAAAAAAGATTAACATCGGCTTCCCGAAAAGTGCTGGGAGCTAGTTTGAGCTGTTTCGGAAATACTCGTAATTTTGCCGAACATGCGTTTAATAGCCCAGAATTTCCACTTCGCTTAAATTCTGTCATTAATAAAAATAATGTTATGCCGATCAGAATCAGCTCCCAGCACTTTTCAAA